CTGTCTTCAGGGCATTGGAATGTGCTGACTAGTATCTTTAGAGTCAGAAGTTTTTGTTCATACCTTATAAGGCTTTTACATGTACAATATGCCTCAGCTTGTCTGGGCTTGTCTAAAGAAGCTAGCCAAAATGGAGTCAGAGCATTTTGGCTCTTCAATACCTGCAGACAAAACACTCAATACACATAAAATAAAAACAAATACGTCTTTTATAAATATATATTTAAAAAATTGGGGTTAAGCCAGGCATGGTGGCACACGCCTTTAATCTAAGCACTTGGGAGGCAGATGCAAGCAGATCTCTGAGTTCAGGGACAGCCTGGTGTACATAGTTCCAGGACAGGTGGGGCTACAGGAAGACCCTGTCTCAAAAAGACCAAAAAAAAACTGGGGTTGGAGAGATGGCTCAGCAGTTAAGAGCACTTGTTGCTCTTTCAGAAGACCCAAGTTCAGTTCCCTGCATCCATATCAGGCAGCTCACAACCACTTTTAAGTCCACCTCCAGGGAATCCAATGCCCTCTTCTGGCCTCCCTGGGAACAAGCACATGCTCCACCCACCTCACATGTATATACATAAAATACAAGAAAAAAAATGTTTTTAAGTTGTCCTCTGCCAGATATGGTGACACATACCTTTAATCCCAGCACTCAGGAGGCAGAGGCAGGCAGGTCTCAGAGATTGAGACCAGCCTGGTCTTCCAGGCCAGTTGGGGCTATAGGGAAACTCCACATGCATGTGTAACCCCACACTCACACAATACAATAATATATGTAGTAAAAATAGAAGTCTTAGAAAAAAATAAAACAAAAAACTGTCTAAACATTTGCAAGCCATAAAGCATTGAGGACAAATGACTGAACTGGAAAGACTGTCTGTTTCAGACCCAGCCTAAGAAGTTTTTTGTTGTTTTGTTGATTTTATTCTAGAAAGAAAACATTTATTGAATATATTGCAAGGGGGCAAGGGGGAATGAGCTGGGCCATAACTAGAGCACTGCCTGTCCAGCCTGAACAGTTTTGTAAACATTCCTGCAGGACTCTACTCCACCCCCACCCCAGAGCCAAGGAATGGCATGTACTGATCTACAGTGTTGCTCTGTAACCATGGAGGACTGGAGCCGTTTGTACTGGCTTCTCAGCTTAAGTGGCCAATCAGATGTTAAAATATAAAAATCTGGTGGGCCCAATCTTAAGCTTGTAACAATAAAAAACCCTTGTGTATTTGCAAAAAAAAAAAAAAAATCTGACAGCATAATTCACTTTGGGCTCCTCGTTCCAACGTGATCCAAGAGGAATGTGTGTTTTGTTTGTTTGTTTTTTAGTGTCTCCGGTGAGGATAACCTTGAACTTCTGGTCCTCTGCCTCTACCTCCTGAGTGCTGGGATTACAGGTGTGCACCATCACTGCTGGTTTCTGTGGTGCTGAGGTGGAACCCAGGTCTTTGTGCCTACTAGGCAAGCAATCCACAACTGAGCCGCATCCCCAGTCCTCCAAAATGGGTTTTGTTTGTCTCTTACAGGTTAATAAAGATATGCAAGTAGCCTTTCCAGACCTCTTGCTGTGAGACATCTTTCAGCTGGTGGTGCAGTTTGGGTGTGAAATGTACCTACACAGGTTCATGTGGTCCCCAAAGGAGACAGTGCTTGGGGAGGTTGAACCCTGAGTATGTACCTTTGCCCTTTAATAACCCTCCCAATTCCTTGGCTCTGTATGATAAAAACAAGAACCTGGAAACTCTGGAGAGAAGTCTGCGGTGGTCTGAATATTAAACGGCCCAACAGGCTGAGGTGTGTAACACTTGTTCCCTGGCTGATGGTACTGTTTTGAGAGGTTGTGGATCCTTGCTAGTGGAAACGAATCAGAATTGAGACTTTGAAGATTATAGGTCTGTCTTTAGCATTTGGCTGCTGCTTACTGGTCTCCCAGCACCACACATTCTCACCACCGTGAGGACTGAGGAGCCTTACCACACATTCCCACCAAGATAGACTGGGACCATTTGAAACTAGGATCCAAAATAAACCCTTCCTCATATAAGTTGTATTGGGCACTCTGTCACAGCAACATAAAAACTGATACAAAGCCTCAATCTGCTGTGGTTGAAACCTCCCAACCTTTAATTAATTAATTGAAAGGGTCTCACATAGCCCAGTCTAGCCTTAAACCCCTATGTAGCCAAGGTTGGCCTTGAACTTTTGATTTTCCTCCTGCCTCAGCCTCTCAAGTGCTAGGATCACAGGCAGGAACCACCATACCACACCTGCCATAAGTCAGCTAATGCAAAGTGTGATTCTGTGATTAAGCCAGTCAAATAAAACAGTGACTTTGTGGCGCAAGATGGACGTGCCTGAGTTTCAGCCATCCTGGGCAACATGTTGAGACTTTCACCAAGAAGAGCATCTTGAGGGCCCCCTTGTACCAGAGATGGAGGGTATTGCTGGGTGGCTTAGGTACAAGATGACTGCCTGCCCAACTCCTACTGTGAAGGAGGGCTGACCACATCCCAGGCCAGATTTTTCTGGCACCTCTTGGCAGGAAGGGCACTGTCAGAAGTTCCCAATCAGCATCATTAATCAGCACCAGAATTCCCGACCACACACTGTCTCCCAGGGTGAACAGCTCTGGCAGCTCTTTTAGCAAATTCTTGATCCAGACAAAGAGGTTCCGGATATTCCAGGGCCCTTTCTGCTCAGGCAAAGTGACTTGATGTTTTTTGATTCCCTCAAATAAGAGCTCAGCACTGCCTCCGAACTCCACATCCACACTCAAGGGGTCTGCCATGTTGAGGAAGCTGAGCAAGCAGGAAAAACCGAAACCTCCCAACCTTTATCACCAGCAACAAAAATATTAGTCATAATGTGTATTCCTCTCTAATAAGGAGCCAAAAATCAATCCATTTGGAAGGATGGATCATGAAACTTTATTGATGAGGACACTGTTCCCAACAGTTGATTGATTCAGATCACATTTACAGTACATAAATACACTTCCTTCTTAACAATCTCTGGACATAGCCTTGAAGCTGACTTAAGAAAATTATAAGCCTCAAACTGTGGTTGAGCATTATCTCAGGAATGTGACCAGCGTGACAAATCCACAAGAATTCATTCAAAAACCTACCTCAACAACCTGTAAAAAACACAGAGGTCTGTTTTTATGGGAAGCTGATAACACATGTTTTATTCTGGGTTGTTTTTTTTTTTTTTTTTTGAGACAAAGTCTTATGTAGCCCAGGCTGGCTATGAAGTCCTAAGGTAACCAAGGACTTTGAATTATTTTCCTATGGTCTGGACAGTGCTGGGACTCAAACTGACCCTGAATTCTTTTGATTTTTTTTTTGCTTAATGCAGTGCTGGGGATTGAACTAACCTTGAGGTCTTGATTCGTCTGCCTCCAGCCTCCCAAGTGTTGGGATTACAAGCCTGTGCCATGACAACTCCAGCTTTAATATACACATTTTATTTAACAATGTACAAGTAAAAGAAGTGAATGTTTCCAGGAAAATTAAGACTATGTGGACCTAGATAGCACCTAGAAAGTATAGAGAAGATAAAGTTTGCTATTGAAATCACCTGGGCCCAAGTTATTGTGAGAGCCGATTATGACTCTGTGTGTGTATGTATGTATGTATGTAAGCTAGAGATCATCACTGGATATAGTTCCTCCAGAGCAGTTGCCATCTACTTTGTTTTTTGAGATAGCACCTCTCACTGAACCTGGAACTTACCTAAAGTTGGCTAGGCTGGCTAGCAAGCCCCAGGGATCCTCCTGTCTCCACCTCCCCAGCACTGTGTTACTCCACACCAAGCCTTTTTTTTTTTCGGTTTTTTGGGAGGGGTGGGGGGTCTTCTTGAGACAGGGTCTCCCTGTAGCCCCAGTTGGCCTGGCACTCACTATATAGACCAGGCTGACCTTGAACTCGCAGAGATCCACCTGCCTCTGCCTCCCAAGAGCTGGGATTAAAGGCATGCACCACCATGCCTGACAACACCAGGCTTTTTATGTGGGGTCTGGGGGTTGAACTCAGAACTCAGATCCTCATGCTTGCAAACCTAGCACTTTACCTACTGAGCATCTCCCCAAATCCCTCACTGACATCTGACTGTAACACATTACCTTCTGTGAGTCTGGGGACAGCGGACTCAGCTGCTCATACCAACTTACACTAAAAGGTTTTAGATTCTGGGCTAGAGAAATGGCTCGGTGGTTAAGAACACTTTCTAATCTTACAGAGGACCTAAGTTCAGTTCCCAGGATTCACATGGAGGCTAACAGCCATCTGTGACTCCAGTTCCAGAAGACCTGACTGCCCTCCTCTGGCCTCTGTGGGCACTGCACTAAATGTGCACATGCCCCTGTGCATGCATTTTTAAAATAAATCTTTTTTAGGCTGGGCGTGGTGGCGCAGGCCTTTAGTACCAGCACTTGGGAGGCAGAGGCAGGAGGATCTTTGTAAGTTCAAGGCCAGCCTGGTCTACATAGTGAGTTCAGGTCAGCTGGGGCTATAGGGAGACCCTGTCTCAAAAAGACAAAAAAAAAAACAAACAAACAAAAAAAAAACAACCAACTTTAAAAAAAAAAGTTTTGTACTTGCCCTAGTTTTATTCCAAAATTACTATACTACAAACTTGTAGTATATATCTGGGAATACCAGATATATCTGGGAATACCAGTTGGGAAAGCAAGAGAACTACCAGCTGCTTGATTGCTATGACACTGTTCAAAAATGGTGTTCTGAGGAATCCCTAATTTCACAAGGATGCTGAGAATCACGTAGACATTCCCTCACTGGAGAAGAATCATCCGTCAATAGTATAATCAGGCTAGAGAAGGTTCCACACTGCATGGCTGTGGGGCCTCACTGAGGGAGGCCTCAAGTAACATTACACTATATAAGCAATACAGTATTCTTTGGTTATGGCATATTAACAATCAGGAAGATAACTCCCTTGTATACATGAGACCAGTTCTTAACAAGGCTGATTTTTGTCCCCCAGGAGACATTTGGCAATGTCTAAAGACAATATTTTTTTGAAACATGACCTCAGGTAGCCCAGGCTAGCCTTAGACTCATTATGTAGCCAAGGATGACCTTGAACTCCTGATCCTCCTGCCTCCACCTCCTGAATACTGGGATTACAAGTATGTATCACCACAGGTGGAGACAATTTTTTACAGAGGTACAGAGAAGAGGGGCACTATTAAATATCCCACAATGTACAGAGAAGTCTCCATTCAATAACAAAATTTTAAGACCACAAATTTAAGTTCTGAGGTTGAAATTCTGAAGGAGGTTTATTTAACATGTTGACTCAGTTGCCTGTCCATAAAGTTAAAAGGACACTGTGGAGGCTTTGAGGTACCCCCTCACTTCACAGCTTTCAGGGGTTCTCTGTCAACTCCCAGGAGCCTCATTCATTCATTGCAACTTCCATCCAAAACCCACTGTCGGCCCCTTCACATCAAACACCTTAGTAAAGACTTGTTGAATGAACTGAGTATAGTGGAGCACAGGTATGGGAAAGGGTGGTTGGATGAACAGGGTGAAAAGATGCTGTACTGAACAACTTTGTGTGGCTGCGCACGTGGAGGCCAGAGGTCAATCTTGGGATCATTCCTCAGGAGCCAGTCATCTTGGTTGGTTGGTTGGTTGGTTGGTTGGCTGGCTGGCTAGCTGGTTGGTTTTGTCTGCTTTGACATAGGGTCTCCCACTGAGACCTGGAACTCAATGAGTAGGTGAGTCAGTGAGCCCTAGAGATCTGCCTGACTCTGCCTCCTCAGTGCTGGGATTACATGCCTGGCTTTTCATCTGAGTGCTGGATGTGGAACTCAGGTCCTCATGCTTGCACTGAAAGCACTTTACCAACTGAGCCATGTCTCAAGGTCCCCTAAATAGCAATTTTATGTGACCTAAAAGTTATTGTGAGACTCAATGGTGCCACAACTTCATAACTTGTACCTCACAGGACCTCAAAGTTAGGGAAATTGTGCTAATATACTGTTAATGGTACAGTCCAGATTTTTAAGAGGAATATGCATAAATACTTTCAGATTCTTTTTAGTGGGGCAAACCAAATAAAATGGTGCTAAAGGGAAATATTTTATATATTTCATTTTAACCTAAAAAATATCAATACATGAAATGCCATGCATGGCAGATACCACCCCCCCCTTTTTTTTTTACATATTTACAATTTTACATATTTACTTATTAACATATCTTCTATCTTTACAATTACAAAATTATTTCAAACTGGGAGTGTAGAAACATTGAGTTCATTTTAACATAGACTTTGTAGCATTTGTTTTATCCTTTAAAAAACAGTATTTACCCAAAACCAACTACAGTGACTACCACAGAGAAGTCCATAAGAAAATCAGGGAGAATATTAAAGATTGAGACAAAATTCACACAAACTCATTTTATCAACTCAAATAAATAGTACATTATTATTCTCTGGACTTCCCCTGCTAGGAAAAACAAAACAAAATAAAACAAACAAAACAATCCCTAAAAACTGTACCTTAAAAATACTCTGGCATTTATAAGCAGTTAATTCATATTTCAGGCCCAGTCAGTGGAGTATGGCAGAGTTCCCAGGGACTAAGGCTCAAATAAATAAGACCACGAGCAAAGCCAGAGCCAGGCAACGCCATCACGTGGTAGTGGCCATCACCCTGCATACACCTGAGGCTGCAGTGGAGGAGGGAGCTTGTCATTCTCAACATTTTCAGAGTCAATGGCTGCTAATGGCTGGTTTAGGGGCTTAATCTCAAGTGGGTATTTCTCAACAATGTCTTGAACTTCCTTCGCAATTCCATCCGTCCAGTCTATTAGGTCTTTCTCAAGTTTCTTAGCTTCGTTCATGATCCTTTCCTGTCGTTCATTCAACTGAGACAGGAGGTCCAAGTTCTTATACATCTGCTTCACGCCTAAGCAGGCCTCGGGGGACCAACTTTCAGACTCCTGCTTCCTGGGGGACGTCTGGCCGGACATGTAGCGATCAAAATCCTCCTGACTTAAATTTAAAGACTGAGCATCTAATTTCTCAATGAAAGCCACAGCACAGCACTGTGGAGGCAAGAGAATGTCATTAGATAGTTGGGGAGGAAAGGCTACAAAAGTTCAGTTTAAATCCACTTCCCAGGAGTACTGGGACTTGAACCCAGGGCCTCATGAGTGCATGCAAAAGATCCAACAGGAGCTACATACCCAGAATTTTTGAAGTTTTGTTTGTTTTTTTAAAGAAGTCTTACTATGTAGCCCAGTCTGGCCTTAAACTTCAATCCTCCTGCCTCAGTCTCGTGCTAGTACACCTAGTTTTCTTGACACTTGATTCTCCCTTTGTTCTTGGATTTCTTTGGTCCAGTGGCTTCAGAGCTCCATTACTTCCTTGCTCCTCTGCACACTGCCCTCTGTTCCCCGTTCTGTACTCCTCATCATCTCTCCCAGCTGTCACCCACTGTGAGCACCCACAGGTCTGTGTCACCCATCTTGAACTCACCTTGAGCTCCATTTGTTCAAACCTCATCCAATGAACTTTGCTTTCCCAACATTCCCTAGTCCTGTCAGTGGCAATGCTATGCTGTCTTCACTCCTATCTCCACTGGCCTAAGTCAGGAGCCCTGGAATCAACTGGTTCTTCCTCATCCCAGGTAACAGGAGCTGGATGGGACACTCCCCTCAGGTCTGAATTCCCCTCAAAGAGATGATCCTATTTGCAGAATAACACACTTCTGGTGAAGTGCAGGGAGGCAGTATGTGGACAGTCTGGCCAGCAGCTCTCAGCTGTCATGGTCCCTGACCCACTCCTGGCTTCAGGGACCCAACCTTCAGGAGTCAAATCTTACCAGGTTGGTGAAGTAGTAGCCGTCCTCACCGGTCATCAGCCGGCTGGGGTTGCAGAAGCGGGTGATATACTGGATGTTGGACTGTAGGCGAGGGGGGTTGCCCTTCAGGACAATGTAGATGAGGGTGGGCAGGAAGTCATCAGCCGAGGCTGGCTCATTCTTGGTGATCTTGATGGCATTGAAGATGTGCTTGCTGCACCTAGTGATGCAGGCCAGCTTGTCTCGGGGCACACGTTTCGAGTCCATCTCAATGATGTCTGTGAAGCAGAGGGGACAGTTCCACCATGTGGCTGTCACCACACACAGGCAGCAATGAGCCTGATGAGGTGGTGCTCACCTGGACAGCTAAGCCCAGGACACTGAGCAGAACTACACAGTAATACCTCTTCTCAGAAAAAAAAAAAAAAAAAAGTAGCAACAGGATAATTACTTTTTATCCCTTAGGTTTTACTAATCCCTCACCAGCAGTTAACTCAGAGTACAAGAAACTTAAACTGAAGCAATGAAAACAAGTTCCTATCCACAGAACACATAGTATGGGCCAGCACACCCTCAGACCACTTGTCTATTCTACACAAGAGCAGGAGTCAGAGGCATATCACTATCCAAGCTCATGCAGAGAGCAAGGAATGGGGTATAATCTAACCCATGGTGCTCCCATGAGTCTACTCATGAAGCTCATGACAGAGCACCTCCAAGCCCCACAGAGGAGGACAACAAGGCTTTAAAAGAAGTGTTTTTACTATTTTTGTTTGTTAGTTTTGCTTTTGTGATAGGGTCTCACGTAGTCCAGGTTGGCACCAAACACCCTATATAACCAAGGATGACCTTTAACTGCAGATCTACCTGGCTCCACCTCCCGAGTGCTGGGATTACCCAGTTTATGTGGCTTGCCTAACAGTTCTGGAACTGAACCCAGGGCATCATGAATTTAGGCAAGCCATCTATCAACTGACCACATCATCATCAGTACCCTATAATATATCTTTAAACTAAGAAAAGAAAGTCTTAGTGTGAGTAGTGAGTTTCAAAAAGGTGGCTACTAACAAGCTGTCTCTCAAGACATTGAAGCCAGAAGGGTGGACCTGAATGGAGAATGGTGATGAGTAGGGTGGGAGTGGCCAGTGGGGAGGCAGGCTGGATAAAGGTTCCAAAGCACAGAGGAAATGCTGAGGCAGCACACAGAGACGGTCATACTCAGAACACCCTAGCCCACATGGAGATCTACAGAAGTTCATAGATTCCCAACACCAGTAAATAAGAGGAATTCAGATTTCCTGATCTGATGAGGGACACACTGACATCACTTGAGCAAATCTCATACCAAATCCACATGTACAATCAAAATATGTCAGTGAGGGGGCTGGAGTTGGCTCAGCAGTTAAAATCACTGACTGCTCTTGCAGAGGACCTGGGTTCGATTTCCAGGATCCACATGGTGGCTAACAACAGTCCATAACTCCAGTTCCAAGGGAATTCAACGCCCTCTTCTGACCTCCACAGGCTTTGCACGACATGAGTGCACTTACATACATGCATACACATAAAATAAAAATAATAAATAAAAAAAAATATTTTTTGGTCTTTTTGAGACAGGGTCTCCCTGTAGCCCCAGCTGACCTGGAACTCACTATGTAGACCAGGCTGGCCTTGAACTCAGAGATCCTCCTGCCTCTGCTTCCCGAGTGCTGGGATTAAAGTCTTGCGCCAAATATTTTTTAAAACGTGTCAGTGAAAAGGAAAATAAAGTGACACCAAGCATCTTGGTTCACACACCACTGACATCCAGCATATGCCCAGGGCTGCAGTGGCTGGGACAGGACTTGTGGCCGTGTATGTCTACCCATGAAGATCCACAGAATGTTTATGGCCCTCACAAGATGCTTACGAGCAGAAAGAATAAAGCAGGGGTATAATTACTTCCAAATAACATTTAATTTCTCTCAGAGAAAAACCACTTCAGTGCCCTTTACTGTAGGCTCTGGTAAGTGTGTGCTCTTGGTCAAGGAGACCACAAAGAGCAGACTGGCCCTGGCTTTGACTTCAGTGTACACTTTAAGCCCTGTGACAGCAAGGGCAGGAGGGAAGGTGGAGGCAGCTTAACAGACAACAGATACTCAGTGTGGCAGACATCAGTTTCACATTAGGTAGGCAGAAGTGAGCACACCAGGGTTTTACTGTTCTCTGAGGTTGGCTACCCACAACCTCACCATAATCTAGAAGTGTGTGGGAGACAGAATATTCTAAACATGAAAAAGTCTGCCCCTTTTTTTGCTGGAAATTAAACTCAGGGCCTTACAAGTGCAAGGCAAACACTCTACCACTGAGCTATATTTCCATCCCTATTGTGAGCTTTTTATTAGGACTCTCTAGATAGCTGGGTGTAGTAGTACCTGCCTGTAATACTAGCACTTGGGATGCTGAGATAAAAGAATCAGGAGTTTAAGACCAGCTGGGGGGCTGGAGAGATGGCTCAGTGGTTAAGAGGACTGGCTACTCTTGCAGAAGACCCGGTTCAAATCCCAACACCCATATAGCGGCTAACAACCACCAGTAACTCCAATTCCAGGAGATCTGACCCTAGCCCTCTTCTGGCCTCCATGGGCATTGTATAGCACAGGTGCACTTACATACATGCAGGCATAACACTCATACACATTAAATAAAAAAAATTTTTTTAAGCTAAAAAAAATATTTTAAAAAAAAGACCACTAAGATATGTAACAAGTTAAAAGCTAGCCTGGCGCTCAGACCAAGACTGTATGATGATGAAGATGAAGAAGAAATAGTAGTTGTCAGTCATCATTATCATCACTTTAGCTGTATTTGACCCTGATTTAGTTCAATGATCAAGAAATGAGACTGTGGGCTTAGAGAGATGGCTCTGCATGTAAAGACACTTACCACCAGGCCTGACAAGCTGAATTCCATCTCCAAGGTTCACAGGATAGAAGGAGAGAACCAACTCTCCCAAGCTGTCTTCTGACCTCTACACATATGCCATAGCATACCACCTCCCCCAAATAAAAAACAAACAAATAAATAAATAAATAATTTTTAAAAAAAATGTTAAGCCCTCAAAAGGCTCTCAGGTAAAAAACAAGAGACCTTGATCACTGAAGCACTGCAGAGGGGTTTACCCACTGTTCTGAATGCATCAAATTCTCACAGTAAGCACTTCCCAACTCTACCCCATCCTGGTGCATCTGGAAGTGGTGCTTTAGGAGACCTGAGCACTTTCTGTGGAAGCAGCACATTAGCATGCAGATGTGAAGCTCTTGCCTACTGACCTGTGATCGCTTTAACGACCATGTCAGACACTTCTGGGATTTCCTCATTGACAGGGACACAGAGCATCTGAGGTGTCACCCAGTGCAGAGCCCTGCAGAGAAAAGGGTGGTCAGGAAGAGGTTCAAGAACAGACGGTAGACTTTAATCCTGGCATTCCCTTCAATTACGGGAAAATAAACACGACTGACTTACTAGGCAACCCCAAATTCCGGTACACGATCCCTGCCTGTATCAGAAGCTCATGGCTTTTGCACCTGTCGCAGCAGAGGACAGAGGGCAGTCTCCTGGCTGAAAAGAGAGTCTGCCACAAAAGTCAAGCACACACCTCTGGAGATATGATCTGTCACTCACTGTCCACAGATGGTTCTGTCCTCTTACACCCTGCCTTCAACATCCCAGGCACATGAGAGCCCCTGAAGAGGCCAGAATGGTCTCTGTGCTGGATAGCTTTACTTGTCAACTTGACATACCTGGGTAGAGGGAGCCTCAATTGGGGAATTACCTCCATTAAACTGGCCTGTGGCTATGTCTGTGGAGCATCTTCTTGACTGTCGAGTGATGTGGGAGGGCCCAGCCCACTGTGGGTGGTACCACCCCTGGGCAGGTGGTTCTATATTGTAAAAGAAAGCAGGCGGGCTGGAGAGATGGCTCAGCAGTTAAGAGCACTGACTGCTCTTGCAGAGGACCCGGATTCAAGTCCCAGCACCCACATGGCATCTAACAATGGTCTGTAACTCCAGTTCCAGGGGATCCGATACCCTCTTCTGACCTCCTGTTGCATGACACAGGTGCACCTACCTACAGGCAAGCAATACGCCCATACACATTAAATAAAAATAAATTTTTTTAAAAAAGCAGGTTAAACACAGGCCAAAGGAGCAAGCCAGTAAGCAGCGTTCCTCCATGGCCTATGCCTCAGCTTCTGCTTCCAGGTTCCTGCCTGAGTTCCTATCTTGGGCTCCCTCAGTGATGAACTGTGACACGGGAGATCTAAGATACAATAAACCCTTTCCTCCTCAAGTTGGTATTGGTCAGTGTTGTCTACAGGTTAATGCTCTCAACACATCCCTCCAGTGTGACATCCATCTAACTTCTGGTCCTGGCCATGGGCTCTATCTTGCATCTGCCCTATATCAACTCCTCACTTATGGAGTGTCATCACCATGTACTGATGTGATTACCAGTTCCTTAGGAGACCTCATTTGGAGTTCCTCAGCCCAGGGACCTCCAGACATTCATAATGGCAGCCTTGGAACTGTTCCCACACTTAGGGGTTGTGATGGTTGATCTTCACTGATCTTGACTGGATTTAGAATTTCCTAGAAGACACAGCTCTAGGTGTGCCTATGAAGGGTTTTCTAGGGACCCACCCTATATTTGGGCTGGGGGCTCAAGCTGAATAAAAGGAGCGGGGAGAGAAAGCCATATGGGCATGGTGGCCCACACCTATCATTCTAGCACTGGGAAGGTGGAAACAAGATCAGGAGATCAAGGTCAATGTCAGCTACATGAAACAGGAGATCAAGGTCAATGTCAGCTACATGAAACGCATCTCAGAAAACAGATGGAAAGAGAGAAAACCTTTTCCTGATCCACAGAGATGTAAGGTATCCCAGCTGCATGCTCCTGCTGCAGTCTGCCTTCCTTGCCAAAATAAATCCTTCTCTTCAGCTGTTTGTCAGGTATTTTGCCTTAACAATGAAAAAAGAAACTAATACAGGTGCCTGTTCCTGTGCTCCATCCCCTGCTGCTAGGCTGCAGCAGGGGGAGGGGGCTCACTCCATGGGTCCTCTAAGACTGAGGCATTAATCTGTACCAGTTCAGACTGGTAAAGATGTACCTGGAGGATGTCTGAATAATGCAACCCAGTCAGGGGAAGATGGCGCCTTGATACAGTTACAGTTTCCTGCCTGACAAGACAACACAAGGAAACAAGAAACCAAACCCCCCTAGTCCTTGGAAATTTCTGAGAGCTGCAACAATCTCACATACCCAACACATGTCCTATCAAAAGCTGACCAGAGTCAGATGAGCAAGCAGGTTAGAACAAGCCCAGCTAGCTCATCAATAAGCAGGGCAAGGAGCTTAGCTGCCACTGTCCCAAGGATGGAAGCTCACATGCTTTTTTCCCACTCCGTGTTCCTTCACTACAGGCAGAAGATAAAAGGCAGACAAGAAAACCACCTGATTCGTTTTTGAATGGCAAGATCTTTCTTCTCATCGTCAGTAGTCTCTGGGCAGAACACATGTTTATAGAGCCGGATCATGATGTACTTTTCAATCTGATCCATTACCTTCTCGACTCTTTCTGGAGGCACTGGAACACACAGATGGGTATAAAAGTTCAAGAGAAGGATTTTAAATGAAGACCATGTTTTCATAGCATTTCCATAGAGAAAAAAAAAATACTAAAAATATATTAAACACATTCACTAAAGAAACTACAGATGCCACGTTTTAAAATGCCCTTTAGCCGGGCATGGTGGTGCATGCCTTTAATCCCAGCACTTGAGAGGCAGAGGCAGGAAAATCTCTGTGAGTTCAAGGCCAGCCTGGTCTACATAGTGAGTTCCAGGAAAGCTGGGGCTACAGAGAGAACCTGTCTCAACAAGACAAAAAAAAAAGCCCTTTAAAAATTAATTTTGGGGGATAGGGATATGGCTCAGTTGGCAGAGTGTGTGCCCAGCATGCCCAAAGACCTGAGTTCAATCCCCAGCACTGCATGAATTAGGTAATACAAACTAGTGGTACGCACTTGGGAGGTAGAGGTAGGAAGATCAGAACTTCAAGGTCATCCTTAGCTACACAGCTAGTTAAAGCCGGTCTGGGCTACTTGAGATAGTCACAAAGAGGGGAAAAAAATACAATTTTACAGAATTCCCACTTCTTCATTAAGCTATTTTCTTGGGACCTAACAATTGTTTGCCCCTGCCCTGCCAAATGGGAAGACATCATCAGTCATTCTCCATTACTACACCGGTAAAGCACTTGGGAATTGCCAAGGCTTTAAAGTGCTGGCAAGAATTCCCATTCTCCTGAGGTTTTCCATAAAGCCACAATGATCTTTCTGAGGTACACGTGGAGATCTCGAATGTGAGCTATACATCCTAAGTATATCAATAGAAGACTAGACACAGAAGAGTCTCTACAAACCCAAAGCTCTAAATCAGCGAGTCTCAATTTTTTTCTGCCCCAACAGAGTGGTTACATCACCATAAACAACCACTCAGCAAGATGGACATTCCAAGATAGGGATTCACACAAAAAAGCTTTCTGAGCGCTTTCAATCTGCTTTACCTTACCATAATCCAGGGATCACACATTACTCAGTAAACTATCCAATGCCCTGGTCACACATACGGTGGCATGCACGGGGACTGCCAGGCATGAGGCAGCTGCCAGTGTTGGGAGTATCTGGCAGGACAGCATGGCCACCAGCCAGGCCAACAGAGGAAGGAGCTGCTAACCTGAGTGAAGACCAGCACCTCCCCTACCCACCAGCAGCTGGCTGACAAGGCATTACCTTTCCCACGCGTCTGCATTCTTTCAGCCACATTCTGGTAAAAGTCCTGTGTACATTCTGACTGCTCCTCAATGCTCAAATCCTGAAACCAAGAGGCAACCAAGAGGCTGTTGAACAGCTGAAGAAAGTTCATGATGAGAACACTAAATTTTAACAAATTTACAAAACCCACTGCTTGCACTGAGCTAATTTTAAAAGCACTCATAAATTACAAAAATTCTACAAGGGAGAAAAACCTACTGATTTTTGACCTTTACAATTAACTCTATGTACACATTTTTGGTTGTTTTTCAGATAGGATCTCACTATGTATCCTTGGATGGCCTGGAACTCACTATGTAGACCATACTGGCCTCAATCTCACAGAGATTCATCTGCCTCTGCCTCCTCAGTGCTGGGATTAAAGGCATTCACCACATCTGGACTAAAGATTTATTTTTGATTATGTGTCTGTGTGTGTCTATGTGTGGGTACGCACACATGAGTACAATGCCTGTGAGTTCCAGAAGAGGGAATCAGAGTCTCAAGGACTCGAGTTACAGGCAGTTGTGAGCTGCCCAACTTGAGTACTGGGAACTGAACTCAGGTTCTCTACAAGCACAGCAAAGGCTCTCAACTGCTGAGCCAACTCTCCATCCTCCAAAGAAAATATTCTTGCTCATGCAGCATGAAAATAAATTTCAATTATTCTAAGTCCTTTCCACTAGCTATTTTGAAATATACCATTAAGTGTCACCAACCAAAGTTTTCTTACTGTGTTTAAGAACATCCGAGGTGGGCTAGAGAGGTGGCTCAGCAATTAAGAGCATGTCCTGGTTTGCTTTCCACTGCTGTGATATGACACTCAGACCAAAATCAGTTTTGGGAAAAAAGAGTTTATTGCATCCTACATGTCCAAGTGACAATTCATCATGGAGGGAAGTCAGGGAAGGAACTCAAGGTAGGAACCTGGAGCAAGAACTGAAGCAGAGACCACAGAGGAACACTCTTACTCGCTTTCTCAGTTGCCTTTCTTATAAAGCCCTGGCCTTCCTTTCCACAGTGAGCTGGGCCTTCTTAACATCAATTAGCAATTACGAAAATACCTCACAAACATGAACAAAGCCAGCCCCATGGAGGAAATATCTCAAATGAAGTTCCCTCTTCCCAAATGTCTCTAGTTCATGTCAAGTTGATTAAAAACTAACCAGCACAGAGCATGTGCTGCTCTCGCAGAGGACCTGAGTTCTGTTCCCCACATCCATATCTGGCTGCTCACAATCACTTATAACTCCAGCTCCAGTTTGATCTGTGGCCCTCTTCTGGCTTCCAGACACTGCATTCACATGCACATATGTACACACAAACACATAATTAATCTTTAAAAAAAAATCAGAGGTTTATCCTATCCCTTGTACCTGCCAACCTTCCTCTCCTTGTTCCTCTGCCCACCTGTTCCAGCATCTGGCAGGCACTGCTCTGCATTCTCTATGAAGTTGATCTTTTTCTCTTTATGAATGAGAATGTGCTGCTTCTAATTTTAAAACAAAGTCCTGTGTTACCTCTTCCTAATTTAATTTTTTTTCCTTATGAGAATTAAAGCCCATTTTGATGAATTTTTTTTTCCTTTGGATATATACTTCTAGTTTTCTTTTTTTAACATTGTATTTATTATTTTTACTTTATGTGTATGAGTGTATTGCCTGTATGTGTGTAAGTGCACCCGTGTCATGCAATGTCCATGGAGGGTAGAAGAAGGCGTCAGATCCCCTGGAACTGGAGTTATGGACGGTTGTAAGCCAGCATGTGGTTCCTGGGAACCAAACCCAGGTCCTTAGCAAGAGTAGCCAGTGCTCTTAACCACTGAGCCATGTCTCCAGTCCTCCTTCTGGTTTTCTAACAGTGACTTATGAGCAAACTACATGTATGACTTAGAATAGTGAAGTGGGCACTGAGAATGTGGCTCAGTTGGCAGTGTTCACTTAGCATGCCCAAGGCCCTGGGTTCATGAGATCTTGTCTCAAGAGAAAAAGTAAATAGGACAGAGAGGTTTTCAGAACAGTAAAGTCCTTTTAAGATACAGGAGGGCACTTACCTTTCTATTTATTCTGGGAAAATGAAAGCGAATGAAGACACAGCTACATTTTAAACTATAATCTGTTCATTTGAGTATGTAAAAACACCTTTTCCAAGAGCCATCATTCCAGCCCTCCCAGAGATGACTTTTTGAAAAAGCGTAAGTTAGCTGGGCATAAGTTAGCTGGTGGCACATGTCTTTAATACCAGCTCCCAGCACTCTAGGCCAACTGGGACTACAGGGAGACCCTGTCTCAAAAACACCTGCCCCCCAAGAAAAAGCCTAAGTGCAGAAAGTGTTTCCCAACAAAGATCAAATGAATAGAAAAGATGTAGTTCTGAAAATAATCTTCTAAAGTTGGACCATAAAGTTACTCAACCCTGGCCACAGCAGGACTGAAAGAAACAGGAATGCCGTGGGAGACGAAATAGGCAAGAGCATGCCATTGTCTAGACCACAGAGATGTGGGGAGGGAATCTGAGCAATACAACAAGCGCGGTCATCAGCTACTATCAGTAGTCAGTGAACGGCTTTTAGCAACACGAATTCACTTCATGCTGAGTAGGCCTTAGAGTAATATCAAGAAAATTTAGGTAGGGTTAAAGTTTGTGAGCAGATATGAACTGAATACAGAACACACCTTAATCCACAGTGGATTTCACAATCCCAGGAACTGCTCCAAGGTGTACTCAATCAACCCTTTCAATATGTTTATGTAATTAGTGTTTTAAAGCTAGCTAGGTTTAAATAACAGGTTTTATAACTTGTAGCCATAGACCAGCAGAAGCTTCTCCACTAAGATTGAAAATCACCTCTATGCATTGGACGTCTATGGGAAGAAGACAGGTTAACTCCCTAGCTAAAATGATGCTACAAAAACAGAAGGGGGCTGGACCCACTGTTCCTAAAGGAAGATGGCTCATACATGGCCTTAGGTGAGGTTTGCTGTTTTGCTTTTATTTTATTATTTTTAAGTATATGTGTGTATTGCCTGCATACACAGTAACTGCACCTGTGTCGTGCAATGCCCTCGGAAGTCAGAAGATGCTGTCCGATCCCCTGGGACTGAAGTTAGGGACAGCTATTAGCTGCCATGTGGGTGCTGGGATTCGAACACATGTCTTCTGCAAGAACAACCAGTATTCCCAACTGCTGAGCCATCTCTCTAGCCCCAGAGGTTTGCTGTTTTTATGCCAATAATTCAGGTATAAATGAGTTTTACTGGGCCTCTAGTAATATTCCTCTTAGCCTTTACAGTGGGTCCATGCCTCCTAAAATATCTAACCAGATAGATCAAGAAGCATCCAAATGCCATGAAAATTACAGTTCTGAGGACTCAATATGAGCCTCGAAATCAAAACAAGTCAAAGATTTAACTTATGTCCCAGAGCCAGTGGGTAATGTAATACCCTGAGCGCCTCCATTTTATGTAAGTTTAACTGGTCAATCATCTGGTCATAGGACCACCCTAGGAAGGCGGGTCACACTAACACATGGGCAGAATACCTAGTGCATTAATGAGATAGCGAGTTTTTCCTGCCTGTCATCCTGCCTGTGGGCAGAATTCCTAGCTACAGCCATGTCTTCTGTGAGTTGCCCACTTCCCTTTTTCTTCTTCATGCCTTTCTTACTAAACATGCTTTCTTTAGGGCTTTGGGCTGCCCTTAGCATCTTGCATCTCTTTACTTTTTCTCTAAAGCTTCCTTCTCCCAGCCATGTGGCTGCCAGTCAGCCCCGTGTCTGACCTCCCAGGCAGGCTCTAAACCTGCACGGCCTCCTTCCTTCCTTCCTTCCTTCCTTCCTTCCTTCCTTCCTTCCTTCCTTCCTTCCTTCTCCTCAAGGCAGCTGCCAAGATTACAGCTCGGCTACCCTGAGGATTTCTTTTTCTTTAAAATTCTAATAAAATTATAAAATCTTTAAAAGAAATTGTCTCTATGAAGCCAGCAAGATGGCCCAGTGGGTAGTCTGCTACCAAGCCTGATGCTTAAGTTCCATTCCCAGGACCCCACAAGGAAGAAGAGACCCACTTCTGAAAGCTGTCCTCAGACCTCCACACATGTACCACGGCACATGTGCCCCCCACCACAAACACACACACCTCAGTAGTAGCTTGCTTGAACTCTTAAATGTCACTATTTCTTCACAAATACTTAAAGACATAGCTGCTTGTTCACACAGTATTATTTATATAATATAATCCACACAGCATTAAATTTATTTATTTATTTATTTATTTAGGCATAGGCCTTTAGTCTCAGCAGAGGAGGCAGAGGCAGGTGGATCTGTAAGATCAAAGCCAGTCTGGTCTACATAGGAAGTTCCAGGACAGCTGGAGTTACAGGGAAACTTAAGACAAAATTCAGGTATAGTCAGGTGTGTGGTGATGCATGCCTTTAATCTCAACATGTGGGAGGAGGAGGAGGAAAAGGCAGGTGGATCTCTAAATTTAAGACCAGCCTAGTTTACATACTGAGTTCTAAACCAGCCAGGACTATATAGTGAGACCTTGTCTCAAAAAAAGAAAAGAAAATTCAAATAAAAAAGCAAAACAAGAAGTAACAGAAACACTCTCAAGTTCTTGCTACTGATCTAACAACTGATATAAAAGTCCACTACAGCAGGATATTCTCCTGCAAGGTAACAAGTGAGCCACCTGCCGCACTCTGCAGTCAGAAGTTCCAAAGGTAACTAAACACACTGAGTTACAGTGGAAAATTACCAGCCTGGGAGTCAGATGTTAACTCAGAGGCTTACCTTAGGTAAACAGCACCTTGTTTCTCTCAGGTATGAAATGACAAGATTATATATCTCTAAGACCTTTCCTAAAACCATAGTTCTGTTTCCAAGTGGTTGTTCTCAGCCTACCCTTTTGTAATGCATTCCTTCCAAAAACATCTTCGTTTGTTTATAGATTTCTTGGCCTATCTTGTGGAAGGTCTTGAGAAATTCTATGAATTCCTTTGTCACTCGATCGGTCTCAATGCTGGTTTGTCGGTTTATGGAGGGACTAGGAGCTTTGGATTCCTGAATTTCTGCTGGGAAAATTAAACACGGTAAGTTTCATTACACAGAAGACCAATGCATAGAATTACTCTACATATCTAACATGATTACTAAAATTACATTTACTCAAAGTTAAAAGTCAAATTTAAATCACGTGATATTTCAATGTTTGACAAGTTTCCTAGAAGAAAACAAAATCTACTTTCCTAGTAGGAAGTTTAAGTAGATAAAACCATGTGATCTTAAAAGACATTCAACTGTGCTAGGAATGTCTCTCAGTGGGTAGAGGGCTTGCCTAGCATGTACAAAGCCTGGGTTCCATCCCTAGCACTGCATAAACCTGGCATGGTTGTGCACATGTGCAATCCCAGCACTTGGGAAACAGAGACAGGAAGATCTAGATAAGTTCAAAATCATCCTTGGCTTGAGGAAGCCTGGGCTACATGAGACCCTGTCTCAAAAAAAAAAAAAATACCCCAACAACAAAAAACAAGAAATACACTTTTAAAAGTTTTTTAAACTAGGGACCTGGAGAGATGGCTCAGTGATGCTCTTGCAGAGGACCTGGGTTCGATTCCCAGCACTCACACGGTGGCTAACGACTATCCATAACACCAGTTCCAGAGGCTCTGAAACCTTCTGACCTCCTCAGAAACTGCACAGTATGGGTACACTTATATGCAGGCAATACACTCATGCACATAAAATAAAATATAAACTTTTTTAAATTAAATGAAATTAAAGATATTCAAATAAAAGTTGATCATTAGTATTTTTAGCCAACATATACAATGTTTTGATCATTAATGATTATTAATCATTAATACTGAAATGGCACCCTATCTTGAATAACTTCCTTAAGGATTGCCCAAGTCTGTCAAAAAGGTCACCAGTCAAATGACAATGAGAGGAAATACAAAGTGCCAGATGACACGCAGCACCAGAATCTCCATCCCACTTCACCTGCCAGGAGGGTAAAGGCCAATTTGTATACACAGAGACAAAATTATTTACCCACCATTCAGTTTGCAAGTCACATTGCTCAAAGAAAAAAATGCATCCAAGCTGGGCACAGTGGCCCATGCCTGTAATTCTAGCAATCAGGCAAGACAATCCAGTTCCAGGTCAGTCTGGGTGACACAGATACCAGCCTGAACTGTATGATAAGATTCTGTCTACACACATATACACACAATGAGAAAAAGGTTTTGTTTTTTCTTTTAAAGGCAAGACCCACCTTTCCTTGGCCTCCTGAGTGCTGAGACTGCTGGTGTGCCCCAACACACAAGAAAAAGCATCTCTGAAGGATACTTATAAGAAACTGCCACATAGTTTAGATATTTTTTCTTTTTCAAGGCGATACTGGGGACTGAACCCGAAGTCTCACATATGCTAGACAAGAGTCCTACCACTAATTTATACCCCCAGACCTCTTTTCTCTCTCTCTTTTTTGTGTGTGTGTCTTTTTGAGACAGGGTCTCCTTGTAGCCCCAGCTGTCCTGGCACTATGTAGACCAGGCTGGCCTCGAACTCACAAAGATCCGCCTGCCTCTGCCTCCCAAGTGCTGGGATTAAAGGCGTGCACCACCACACCCGGCGTTTTTTTGTTGTTGTTGTTTATTTTTTTTCATTTTTTATTTTAAGACAAAGTCTAAATTGCCCAGGCTGTCCATGAACTCACTGTGTAGCCCGAGCTGGTCTTCAACTTGCTATACTCCTGCCTCAGCCTCCTGAGCAGGCGAAATTGCAGGCCTGAGCCACCAGGCCTTGGCTACACACTTTCTCTGAGTAACTTCTCATCTTATTTTTTTGAACTTTAGAACTTGAACTCTTTATTTTGTATCTCAGGATATATTTTTTAAATATTTTATTTATTATTTTATATGTGTGTTTTGCCTGCAGGTATGTAAGTGCACCCAAGTCATGCAATGCCCTCGGAAGCCAGAAGAGAGAGTCAGATTCCCCTGGAACTAAAGTAATGGGCAGTTGTTAGTCACCACGTGGGTGCAAGGAACCAAATCCGGGTCCTTCACAAGAGCAGCCAGTGCTCTTAAACCACTGAACCATCTCTCTAGTCCCCTTGATTATATATCTCAGGATATGTTTTAATGATGATGAGGCAGGCAGTAAAGTTTTAGTATAATAATTCTTTCTACTAGGGTTATCATCTGTTCAAGTGAGATAACACCAGTTCTTACTACTGTCTATTGTAAACCAAAAAGCTGTCTCTAACTACAATGACATCATTGGTTATGAGTCACCTCTGTGGTGACATCATTAACTATGGAGCCACCTCTAATTCATTATAACATTAATGGTCACAGAGCCACATCTAATTATAATGACATCATTGACTATGGAGCTACCTAATTATGATGACATCACTCATTATGGAGCCACCTCTAAAACACATTATGACATCATTGCCTATTACAATGTGGGTTTTCTTTTGTATTTTTGATTTTATTTATTTATCTATCTATTTACTTGTTTATTTTTGAGATAGGGTCTCACATTGTAGTCAGGCTGGCCAGAACTTTGTGGCAATCCTGCCTCAAGCTCACAAATACTGGGATTACAGCCATGAGCTCCCATAGTGCATTTTCTTATGGTGACAGTAAAGCACAAGCATCCTTTGTGCCCACACAATACTATGAGTATTAAGGAGTTATCACAGCTGGGGCTGAAAAGATAAGATGGCTTGGCAGTCAAGAGCACTGGCTGTTTGCAGAGGACCCAGGTTCAGTTCCCAGCATCCACATGGTGGCTAATAACCATCCATAATTCCAGTTCCAGGGGATCTGACACCCTCTTTTGACCTCCATGAGCACTGCACAACATAGATAAACTTACATGTATGCAGACAGTATACTCATATACATAAAATTTTAAAGTAATAAAATTTTTTTTAAACTAGAAAAATAGGGGTCAGAGAGATGGCTCAACGGTTAAGAGCACTGACTGCTCTTGCAGAGAACCCGGGTTTGATTCCCAGCACCCACGTGGTAGTTAACAAACATCTGCGGCTCCAGTTCCAGGGGATCTGATGCCTTCTTCTGACCACCACGGGCACTGCATGACAAGGGTGCACTTTTCTACATGCAGGTAATACACTCATACACATAAAATAAAAATAATATAAAATATTTTTTAAAAAACTGGAAAAATAAATGTAGGTCAGAGTTAGAGAGATGGCTCAGTGGTTAATAGTGCTTACTATTCTGGCACAGAGCCCAAACTCAGTTCCCAGCACCCTATTTGGGGGTTCACAATGGGTGAAATGGGTGATAACAGTGCATTTGATACCAGTCTGGGCTGTAGGACAAGATTCTGTCTACACACGCACACACACACACACACACACACACACACACACACACACAATGAGAAATATAAAAAGGTTTTGTTTTTTCCTTTCAAGGCAAGACCCTCCTTTCCTCAGTCTCTTGAGTGCTGGGACTACAGGTGTGACTCCAACTCCAAAGGATCCAACAGCCTCTTGTGGCTTCTGTTGTACTGCACTCATGTACATCTACCCACACACAGACACACACAAATACACAGAATTAAAAAGAAAAAAGGAGGGGACAAAGAGCACTGGAGGGATGGCTCAGTGGCTAGGAGCACCGGCTGCTCTTGCAGAGGACCCAGATTCAGTTCCCAGCACCCAGATGGCAACTAACAATCATCCAACTCCGTTTCTAAGGATCCGACACCCTTTTCTGGACTCCTCAGGCATTGCACACATGAGTGCACTTACATCCATGCAGGTAAAACGCTCATACACATAAAAATAAAAATTTTAAAAAACAAAAGAAAAAAAATTTAATGCAGACAATACCACAAAGGAGGCCTCTCCCAACAGGCTCCTACAAATAGAGGAAGAAAATACATCTGAGTCTAACAGGAAAGTGGGTCAAGATTATCAAGCCAGGGACATGGAGAAATGGCTCGGTGGTTAAGAGAACAGGCTGCTCTTGTAGAAGACCAGGGTTTGAATCCCAACACCCACAAGGCTGCTAAAAACCGTCCATAATTCTAGTTTCAGGAATCCCAACACCCTCTTCTGATTTCCACGGGCACTGCACAAGATATGGGTACACTCACACACATGAAGCCATAATACTCATATATGAGAGAACAGGTTCTCACACTATGGGACTGGATACAAAGTAACAACTTTAAAGGGTCGATTTGGGCAAGTGTGGTGGCACACACCTTTAATCCCAGCACTTGGGAGGCAGAGGCAGGAGGATCTTTGTGAGTTCGAGGCCAGCCTGGTCTACATAGTGAATTCCAGGACAGCTGGGGCTACAGGGAGACCCTGTCTCAAAAAGACAAAAAAATAATTAATTAATTAAAAAATAAAATAAATATACAAAATAAAAGGGGAAATTTGCAATAATCATCAAAGGTAAAATCCACATATCCAGGGGCTGGAGAGATGGCTCAGTGGTTAAGAACACTGGTTGTTCTTGCAGAAGACCCAGGTTCGAATCCCAGCACCCACATGGCAGCTAACAACTGTCCATAACTCCAGTTCCAGAGGATCCGATGGCCTCTCTGTCCTCCATGGGCACTGCACAACACGGGTATACTTACATACATGCAGGCAATACACTCATACAGATAAAGTAAAAATAATATATTTGGGGGGGGGTCTTTTTGAGACAGGGTCTCCCTGTAGCCCCAGCTGTCATGGAACTCACTGTGTAGACCAGGCTGGCCTTGAACTCACAGAGATCTGCCTGCCTCTGCCTCCCAAGTGCTGGGATTAAAGGCGTGTGCCACCATGCCTGGTGGGATAAAATTTTTTTTTTTTTTAAATCCACACATCCAAGCCGGGCGTGGTGGCACATGCCTTTAAGTCCCAGCATTTGGGAGGCAGAGGCAGAGGCAGGCGGATCTCTGTGAGTTCAAAGCCAGCCTGGTCCAGGACAGTGGGGCTTACAGAGAGACCCTGCTTCAAAAAAAAAAAATCCACACATCCAGCCAGGTCTGGGAAATGCATGGCAATCCCAACACTCAGAGG